TCCGATTGCTCCAGGAGATAATTCTGAACCAAGTATCTAATGCTTATCTTGTATAATTGCTCTTTCATTCTTCTTTTTCTCTTCCGCCTCCCCCCGTCCCCAAACGCCCCCCCCCCCCCCCCCAAACAGCCTGACCCGTCCGCTTGTGCCGAGCCGTTTTATTAAAATTGCTCCGAGTCGGCGGTGAATTCATTAGCTGGGAATACGATGTAAAAGGCAGGATAGTGTAACATTTTAATTAGGCCTGAACAATAAACAAGCTAAATGAGGGGAGCATGGCTCCCTGGTGGATGGCCACCCGCCTTGAGGTTGTGAAGAATCATTACGTCTTCAGCCAATTTCATGCTGTCTCTGTGGAGAAGCCTCATTATTAAAAGGCAAGGGAGGGTGGGGGAAATAAAGAAACCCCTGCTAGACATTTCCTCTCCCCATATTTCTCAGCCTACTTATGTGGTTCGTGTGATGACCGGGTTTACCAGGCAGTGCAGTGTGAGGTGGCTGTGTGTATGATTCCCCACTCCCACCTGGCAAGGAGAACTCTTTGCCCAGGCAAAAAAAGGTGGATTTCAGCTGAAGACGGTACTTTGGAGCTTTGCCCAAGAAACTCATTTGGAGCCAGAGCTTAATACCAAAGTTGCGTGGAATCATGAAACCAACAGCTCTTTGGAGTCATCAGGCTGCAATCATCGTTACCCTGGGGGCCTTAAAAAGTGCAGGCTAGGGAGAAACATGGAGAGAGGCCATTGTTCAGACAAGTGGGGTTCTTGTTTTTCTCAGGGAAGACCAGGGATGAAATCCAGCAGGTTTTGACAGGTTCTGGAGAACTGGTAGTGGAAATTTTGAGGAGTTCAGAGAACTGGCAAATGCCACCTCTGACTGGCCCCAGAGTGGGGTGGGAATGGAGATTTTGCAGTGTACTTCCCCTGCCTTGCCCACCAAGCCACGCCCACCAAGCCAGACCATGCTACAGCCACAGAACCGGTAGTAAAAAAAAAAAGAATTTCACCACTGGGGAAGACTCAAAGTTTGTCTTGCCTCTTGAGGAAGCAAATGCTACGAAATTACAGCTGGAGGCAAGTGACTTTTGAAGCTGTCCAACCCGTTTTTTTGACATGGAAGTCAGATAGATGATTCTTTGGAAGTTTTCCAAGGAAAAGAAGACTTACGAATGAAGGCAACTACAGGAGTCCCAGGATAATATTGCAGGATCCAATCTGGGTCGGTCACCAGGACCAGAGTTTTAATCTCCCAACCTTTCAGACTCATGTTGATGCCCATCCTTGGGAGATTAAATCCAGGGGTGGGATTCAGCCGGTTTGGAGCATGTCAGGCGAACCGGTAATTCCGATGAGCAGTTGGCCCTGCCTACCCGTTCCTGCCCTTTCCTGTCTTATATTTCCCTGTTTTTTAGCTCAGCTGATTGGTGCGGCACAACAGATTGCTGCACCTCAGCTATTTTACTCATCGGCGCTGACATAGAAGGTAGATTTTTTAACATAAAATGGGCGGTTTTTGAATGCTGCGCTCATGCACTCACCAAAACGGTGGTTAAATTGGTTGCATCACACCACTGATTAAACCTCTGCTCCCAGTGACTGGCCTAGATTTGACCCTGCAACATTATCCTGGGACACATACTGTATATTTGCCTTCATTCGTAACACATTCCAGTAGAGAGATGTTCCCTAAGGATGGGCTCCAGGATATGTCTGAAAGCTCAGAAGATTAAACCTCTGGTCCTGGTGACTCGCCAGATTGGAGAACTTGTCCAACCAACTCGATTTCATTGAGGGCCGCATCGGTGTTGTGTTTACCTCAGAGGGCTGGAGTGTGTGTGTGTGCATGTGTGTGTGTGTGTGTGTGTGTGTGTGTCCCCGTCCGTCCGTCCGTGTCTGGCCGGGGTGGTGTGGCCATGGTGGATGTGACACGGAACTCGTGTCGGGGGCACCTGTTGTGGCCAAATGCTAATGCAGGACTTCCCTGAGATCCTCCCTCACTCTCATTATAACCTTCCTCCTTCCCTTCCTTCCTGTTCCTCTTTTTCCTTCCCTCTTTATTCTCCTTTCTTTATTCTTCCTTCCCCTCTTTCCTTATTTTTCCTTCCTTGCTCTCTTCTCATCTTTTTCTTTATCTTTCCTCTTTACCTTTCTCCTTTCCTGTCCCTTCTTGGACGCTCAAATGCAAAAGGGGAAATATTTCCCCTTTTGTTTCATTTTTAGTTTGTTTTGCTACTCCTCTGCCAGCAAAAATGGGGCTTGTCCCCCCCCCCCAGCTCCATTTTCACTTGCAGAGGAACAGGGGGCTGGTCCTTTGCGGATCTAAGCACCCCACGGGCCGAACCCATGGTCCTTGAGTTTGACACCCCGATATCAAGCTGATTTATGAAGCTGACCCAATTGTGAGGTAGAACTGAATTAGCTTTCTTTCCAATGAAATACGATAGTTACATGTCAGTCAGCCAATAAGGCACTCTGCATTACCAAAAGTGGTGACATTTCAATAACTAGAATGAAGCAGTGAACATTTTCCTTACAAAAAGCAGTTATAGCAGTGCATCAGCCTAAGACTCTCCCTTGTCTCTAATAATTACAAGTAAAACAGGGATGACAAAAATAGCCTGTCTTGCTCTAAGAAATAACTATCAGATCTGCCTTTGTATCTTGGCTTAATCACACTCCAGAGTCCTGCGAACAACAGTAATAATACAAGGAACATTTATTTATTATAATTAAGCTAGATTCTACACAATTACAGTTACTGTAGCATAAATATTGAATGCATTTTCTCTAAGCAGATAAATTAATCATTTTATGAGTATATGCTAAACTCTATAACCCAGGAAAAAAATGTATCTGAAAGCATAAAACAGGCGGGTTCATGACACTGATAGCAAGAAGGCAGTGAAATAGAAATATAGAAGAAATGGAAGATGCAATTCATTGTAGATAAGAGCACAGCAATGCGTACATGCGTTTATGTGTGTGTGTATGAGGCATAATCCACAAATACATTAACATATATTTTGCACCTTAGTTGCCGCTTGTCTCAGGTGGGAAGTCATCGAAATAAATGTCAGCAAAGAACATAAAGAAATTAAGATGCCACAATGTTGTAAATTAGTTACATGTCCACATCTTGAACAGCACGTGATTTCCCATAGCTTGAAGTCAAAAGACAAATTCTTCCATTTAAGACAGTTTGAGAATTAAAAATGTAGAGAACTCTTTTAACAGGTCCCAGACAATGATTTAGAATGCCAGAGAGGCTTACAGAAATCAGGTGTGTTTTTATCTCTGTGGTACTCTCTTTTCTATCTTTCGTGTAAGCTATACATACACTATACACAAGTAATGCTCATATACTTTTATTACTCATATATCACCTTTATTGTAATAAACTGTTCCTTACCCATCCATCTGTACAACTTGCTTTTTCTTTGTTTTCTACCTTATGCTGGATTTTGGATGGTAAGCTTCTTGAGAGGACTTTTATAACCCAGCTAAGGTCATTTCCCTGTGAACAACTTACAAGATCTTCTAGAATAGGGATATGCATCTACAGGTAGTCCTCGACATACGACCACAATGGGCCCAAAATTTCTGTTGCTGAGACTATTGTTAAATGAGTTTTGCCCCATTTTACAACCTTTCTTGTCCCAGTTATTAAGTGAATCACTACAGTTGGTTAAGTTAGTGACACAATATCTGGTTTTCCCATTGATTTTGCTTGTCAGAAGGTGGCAAAAGGTGATCACATGACCGTGGGACACTATAATGGTCGTAAGTGTGAAAAACGGTCATAAGTCTCTTTTTCCAATACCATTGTAACTTTGAAGAGTCACTAAACGAACTGTTGTAAGTTGAGGACTACCTGTATTTGGAGCTGGAATTGGGAAAGTTCTTCTTACTAAAAAGTTATTTTGCAAATGGTGCAGTGGTGGGTTGCGGGCCGTATGCCCTGGTACCGGTGTAGTGGAGCCTGCCCGGAGCACCAGGTACTGTTCCGGTACTCCGGAGGGCCCGCTCACCCACCCAAGCTCCTTACCTGTCCTTTAAAGCCTTCGGTGCTTCCGCACAGGCACATGGTGCGTACAGCGCCTGCGTGATGCTCCGCTGAGCAGCTGGAACGTCGCAGAGGCTTGCAGAAGCGTCGCTGGCAGCTATGACGCATGCGCGGATCCGGAACCCACCACTGAAATGGTAGTAGGTTGGATTGGAGCTGTTCAGGCTGGCCCTGCCCCTTTAAATAAAGATCTAAACCACACAATATGATCATAGCAAACTTAGACTATAAATATAGCATGGCTTTTGCCTGTTGAGATTAAGGTGCATTGACGGCAATGCAAATTTGAGTTCCAGTGTATAACTGTAAAGGACTTGGAACTGATATGTAACTATAAGGCAGTTAAGAGA